TATCAGGGAACCAAGGCACAGAAAGGGTAAGTAGCTGGCCTAAAGTCACACAGCTGAAAAGAGGGAGAGCCAGGATTTGTACCCAGATCTGTCTGGTCCTACAGATCTTGTGCGTCACCAGTCTGCTCTTTGCCTCCCATAAGACGCAGAGAGCTTCCCTAGGGACTTTGATGACAATGGGAGAAGGCAGGTGATCCACAACGGCTGGAGGGGGCCTTCCTGGAGAGCCACAAACTGTCCACAAGCTGCTGGGGTCAACTCTAGCAGCTTCCGCATGGAGGGAGCACTCCGTCCTCCCAGGGTGGCCAGCCCCAGGGAAAGGCCAAGGACGGTGACAATTTCCCACCCGAAGCAAGGAGAGCAGTGGCCGCGCAGGGTCCAGGTCTGTTCCTGTTCAGAGCTGAATAATCTGGAGCCTTTGAAGAAGGATTTCTGAAAAGCCATCAGGAGTGAATCATTGACTTAGGGAGGCGATGAATCAACGGGGAGTTCATAAAACGGCAAATGAATCGGGTGTGAGAACGACGGAGCCACTGCTATTCCCCAGAACCCTCCAGGGACAGAGAGCCGAGAGAAAAGAAATAAAAATAACACGGGGCCTCACGCCTGCTACAAACCCCAGTCAGCCCCTCCTTCCACGGGGAAAGACGGAGGGGACAGAGGGGACAGAGGGACGAGACCCGCTGGTGGTTGACGTGGGACCAGAGGGGCGCTCCCGGGGCACTCTGGGCTCCCTGGGTCCAGGCTGCGGGTGCAATTAGCAAACGTCTTTCCCCCTTCTTTTCAGGAGCCCTCACAAGAAAGAACACTGATTTTGACGAACACCCAAAATAATGTGAGATCAGGCACCATGCATTATGCATGAGGTCTGATTTAACATGAACATTATTTCTTGTGTACGAGACCATATGCCTCCGTGCTGTCTCTGCAGCCTAATAATACCCAGACCCACCCTGGTCAGGCTCAGCTAAAGACATGTCCACTGGGTGTATGCGTGGGGGGCGTGGAAGCAGAGCCCTCCTGGTACTTAGCTCATCTGAAGGGAGCCCATTCAGATGCCCTAGAGGTGGGTGGGAGGTGGGTCCTGCCCCTGGAGAAACACCAGGAAGCTGGGGGTGGGTGTAACTGTGTGAAAGTGTCAGTGTGTGTATGTGTGTGTGTGCGTGACATCAGGAGTCCATGACTAGGTGATGGTTCATCGCGTGGTGATGTAGGGACATGTGCATAGCTGAGGTTTTACTGCACAAGAGGGACGACGGCAGGAATGGATAGATCTAATTGCTGTGTGTGTTTGTATATATACACGCATATGTACGTGTGGGGGTGTGTGTTTAAAAAATAAGATCACACATACATACAAACACACAGCCTAACTTTAATTATCTGAAGGGAGCAGGAGAGATCTGGGAGGAGCCGGGAACAATGATGGGCAGCGATTGGAAAGCAGTTTGTGGGGTAAGTGCTTGCAAATTCTGAGAGAAAGGGCCCTGGTCCAATGCTGCAGAGCATGGTTGTGTGTGTTAAGTCAAATGTTTACAAGCGCCAGGTAGCTCTGGAGAGCTTAGTGCCAGAGACCACAGGGCTGGGTACTGGGCAGCATCACAGTGGTATGGGTGTGACCGTGAGTGTGTGAGCATGTGTGCGAGGGGGCAAGCTGGCAAGGGCGTGCGAGGGGGCAAGCTGGCAAGGGCATGCTCGGGGCTTTCGTTGGCTAAGGGGAGGAGGGCTGGGGATGGGTGCGAGTGGGAGAGAGACAGGAGGTGGTGTGATGGCGATTCCTGAGAATGGCTGGGGGAATGAGTGGGGTGGTGGGTGAGGGAAGGGTGTAGGCAAGCCTGTGTGTGTGTGACACAGGCTTGCTTTCTTGGAGGTGACAGTTGCCTCTGCTCTACCTGGCACCCCCCATAGAGTAGCCAACTTGAAGCCGAACTTTGGGGGGATGCTCAGCTGTGAGGTTGGCCATGTCCAGGCTCAGGGACCAATAGAGGGCAGTCCTCCCACATGGAGACCCAAAGGGCTGGCCAAACACTGGCTCCAGTGCCTTCAAATATGCCAGGCAGGGACAAGACTGCTGGCTCCTCTGGCTTCAGTTCCTAAGCTGGAGGCCCCGGGTGATTCCTGTTTGCTAAGCTTAGGGGGAGCCGCTGGGCCAGATAACCAACCTACTCTCACTCCTACCCCTGCTCAGGTGGGTCTCGTATCTAGAGCTTTCTGGAGCTCAAGCCCTGCTGGGGAAAGCTTGGACCTGGGTCATCACTGGACTCTTGACCCTCCCACACGCAGGCCCAGAGCCTCTCCAGAGGAGACTCAATTCCAAACAGCTCTAGATGTGGGTAGCTGTGGTTGGGAGTCAGCTAGTCCTGTGGATACCCAGTCAGGTCCTGAGGCCAAGGGATGATTGCACAGGACCTGAGCCATGCCACATACAAGCTAGCACAACCTCCTGGGCCAGGAGGTGGGGGAGATACAGACGCCCTTGGGGTTTAGGGCCAGGTCCCTTCTGTGTTTGCCTTGGTGGGCACAGGTGACCACAATGGCCACCTTCCTTCTTCTGGTTTTAGGCAGCGCCCACACTGCCAGTGTTCTCCCAGCTCAAAGCATTCTTGGTGTAGCATGGCCTTCCCTTTCCGATCTCGGGGAGTGGCTCTGGATTTGTAAGCACAGTGGTACACACACAACTTCACACACCAACACAGAGGTTCCCATGGGGAGAGTGACGCTCTCTTAACGAACACAATCTGTGGCCACATGATCATGGACAATAATTCTCTTCAAGTGAGAAGGGGAGAGAGATGGGATCAGAGGATGGCCACTCTGCTGGGGAACGCTTGGGCTCCCTTGCAGGTTGATGCCGGGGCCATCTGCCTCTCTTGAACGAGGAGAGTGGAGGCTCTTGGAGCGAGCAGGTGGCTCCACATCCATACGGGGTGGAGAGACGTTTCCTAAACCGTACTCTAGCCAGGGAGTAAGACTCCAGGGCAAAATCTCTCTCTCCCTCTGGTTTCTCCTTACACAGTCAAATGTGCTGAGGTTCCTACCGCCCCCCTCCCCAGGCTGGAAACTGGGGAAAGGAGCCCTGGGGACTTCTGTGACCAAGGGGTTGGTCACTGGGTAGCCGTCCCAGGCTGCTGTCTCATTAAGTAAAATCTTCACAAAGTGGAAGCTTTTCTTCCGTCCTCGTTTCCACTTTTTTTTTTTCTTCCCACTTTTTTGTTCTACTTCTCAGCTGCTGCTGGCTCTTGGGAGGCCACATTGTTTTGTTGTTTTTTGAGTTGACTTGCTTAAATAATAAATCCACCCTCTTGTACGGGATTAAGCAGACAATTAGGAAATCAATCAATCAATTGGTGTCAGCTGCAGGCAGAGGCCAGTGAAAGGCCCCCGTCTTCCCTGTCGCCTTTCCAACCTCCAAACCTGCTGAGGCTCAGGGCGGAACAGGCAGCAGGGAGCTCTGAGCTTCGCTTGCTTCCATTTCAGGGCCCCGAGGTTGGGACAAATCCAGGAATGGAGAAATAAGTAGAGAGTGTGGGGGAGTGTGGGACTGATCTGAAGTTCTGTACTTAGTGGAGCAGGAAATGGAGGCCACGCTGTCACCTGGCCATGATATCCCCGGCCCCGTCTGTAAGCCTGGGGAGGCTCACTGGCCCGCCAGGGTGGGCGATGGCTGGGACACGGGTGCCCATCACAGGGCTCATCGCCCACTAGGCTGGACTGAAGGAGGGAGGAAACAGAAAGCAGCGGTGAGTGAGAGGCTGAGCCTTGGAAAATCTTGGCGGCCTTTGTCCTTGCAGAGATAATTCCTCCTGAGACTGAGGGTCAGAGCCCAGAAAGTCACCGGGAACTCTCAGCATGGTACCATCATTCCAAAGCCTCAGCCTGGCCAGGGACCACCAAGCTGGAGGCCTGGGAACACCTATCTGGGTGCCCAAGATACATCAGCTGGAGCCAAGTCCTCTCCCAGCCCTGGGCTTGGGCCAATTCCTGGAAGGAGGGGGCCACAGACACACAGACACACACACACACACACTCACTAGGGACACAACTTTCTCCCCCCATCAAGGGGTTGTGCTGCTTCAGGCTTTGTGTCCATGAAGAGTGAGAGAAACCTCATGTGGTTTCTCCTGAGGAGGGAAAGGAACTGCATCTAGGGAGGAAGCAGGAAGAGCTATTTTATTCGTATCTTTAAAAGTTGCTTTAAAGGGAAAAGAGGATCTTGACTGGGACATAGGTAACCTTGGGCTTTGGTCTTGGAACTCAGATCTGCCCCCACCATCAGGACTGTGGGGAGGGGGGGACGTTGGGGCTGAAAGCTTGGGAGGGGAGATGTCTGAGACTATGTCTCCCCCCCACCCCCCGCCGCCCGTCAGGGCTGCACAACCACCGAATCTTCATTTAGGCATATGCATCACTCCCTGAGTTGGGGGGTGTTCCTTGGGTACCCATCCCTGGAGAGATTGAAGGGCTTTGTGGGGGCACAGTTGTCTGTGCCCTCTTTCCTCCACGAGGGAAGTTGGGCCAGGTGGCTTGTTTGCAGAGGAGTGGGACCGGCTTTGCCAAAGCAAACAGGCAGGACTCTCTCCCCAGGCCCACTTAATTCCTGCAGGACCGCTGTGGAAGCTGTTAGGACTCCCAGTGGATCCAGGTTAGGTTTGGGCACCATGTGTTTGTGGGTGGAGAGCCAGCTGGGGCAGGCTGGTGTGGCCGGGCCCCACTTCCAACCGCCCCATGTCCTGGAAGGGTAGAGCTGGCCTGGACTCCACCCATGGAGCGCAAAGTGAAACCGAAGCCGGGGCCTGGCGTCTTGGGTGGGGAACACAGAGACACCAGGCTGGTGGTCCAGGTGAGGCAGGCTTCTTCCTTGGCTGAGAAGCAGTTGAATTGTGCCTGAGGAATGGCTGTCCCGAATTCAGTGTGGTGTCTGCAGTGTTGGAGGCCCTGGTCTGGTCTCAGGATAGTCTGTTTACGGGAGGGGACACGAGGCAGCTTCATCTTCCCTACGCTCACTCGCCTGAGGCAGGGGTCCAACTGTTGCCCAAGTAAGAGGCAGTCCTCATACTGGCCTGAAAGAAGGTCTGCGTGGTCACCTTCCTCCAAGATAGTGTGGCCAGGACTTTAGGGGAGGTTAGCCAGGGTATCCCAACACTTCACCCGCACACCGACCCAACCCTGGTAGTAAAAAGGACAGGACACAGCCCTGGGGTACATGTTTATGTGAGTAATAAAATATTTACTATAACATAAATATAAAGGGAACTTCCCAGTCTACATTATTTTTTTTTGCAATAAAGATACAAAGAATGCACCAAAACATTGTTCCAAAAAATAATAAAAATAAAATAACAAAATTTAAATCCAAACTGTAACAAACAGAACAAGAAATGGAGAAGGGGGAAGCTCCAAACACATCCAGAAAATAAATAGAGATGGGTCAGAAATCTGGAAATCATATTAAAATATTTTTTTTTTTCGGATTATTCGGTGTACAAAATCCTCTCGGATGGGGATGGAGGGCAGCCCGGAAAAACCAAAAATAAAAACCAAGCACAAAAATGTGTGTACATATCTCACATATTTACATGGTTCCCACCTCACCCCAAACTTGGGGAATTTCTCTCCTGGCCGCCCCAGCATCCCGCATCCCAGGTGGGGCTGGAAAGGGAGCAGGCGGAAGCTGCAGGGAATCAGGCAGAAGGTTCTCAGGGGAACGGCTTATTTCTACAGCTGGTTAAAAAATATCTCCAACTTTTTCAAGTTTCGTTTGTCGGTGGCCAGGAGGGCAGGGCCCCGCGGGGAGCGGGGGCCCAGCTGTGCAGCGGTCAGTCTGCGGCGGGGCAGAAGCCTCTTCCAGGGGGCTGTGTGTGGGAGCGCAGACCCCTCCCGCGTGGCCGGGAACCGAATCGCAGCTCGGATAAAACGAAACGAAAAATGAACACTCGAATTTTTTTTTGTTAAGTTTTTTTTTGTTGTTTTTGTTTTGCTTTTTAGTGGGTAGGGCAAGGGATGGTAAGGGAAAAAAATAAATTAGGCTAGATTAAAGCTTTGGCTATTTCCTGCTTTTATACACAGACGCGGCTCTCGCGGCCTCCCCTCCGGGGCCCCGATAAATACAGTATACAGCGATTTAAATTAAGGGCGCGGGCGGAGTTAGAAGGACCCCAGGAGCCGGGAGGCTCCATGAATAAATAAAAACCGTAAAAAACCAAGCCCGGAGGAAGGGTGAGGGGGATGGGGTGCATCCTTGTGGGAGAAAAGAAGCGTGGAGCGAATTAAGTGACAGTCCCCCACCCTCGACCCGCAGGCTCGGGAGTCCGCGCCGGGGAGAGGGACAGGGAACCCTCCTCTCCTCGTCCTCTCTCCCAGGGAATCCCTAACCCCGTACCGCGTTACCTGTCGCTGTGGGGAGGCCGCTGCCGGGATCCGGCCCCGAACAGCCCGGGGGGCAGGGGCGGGGGTCGTCGAGGGGATGGGGGCAGGGAGCAGGCGGCGGGCAGGATGCCCGGGGTGAGTTGGCGCGTTCCGGATCTTCGCTCCTCTCTCCCGGGGCTCGGGCGACGCAGCCGCTCGCCAGAGAGGGTCGTCCGGGTGTTTGGTTTTGTTCGAAAGTTTCTGGGCTTTTTGTAAAATCCAAAGCAACCGAACAAAAAGAGTTCAGGCCGCGCGGCGCCT